TTTTTTTGGTCTATTGATTTATGATGATTAATCATTTCTGCTAATAGGGTACCCGTGATCTCTCAAGAAGCTTTTATTACCAACATTAATTTTAATTTTGAGATGAGTATTAATATTCTCCATCTGTCTCCTGAATAAGAAAGGGAAAGAAGAGAAGAAAGAAATCAGATACATTTCTGAGCCCTTGCTATGTGCCAGGAATCTGCTAAGTGCTTTAAGATGTATATTCTAGGAAAACGTATTTTAGCCTCATTTTATACGTGAAAAAATATCAAAGTACAGAGATGCTAAGTGACTTGCCAAATGTCACAAGCACAGATAAAGTGATAAATGCTGATATGGCTGGTTGTGCACTTCGTCTGTATCCAAAAACATTCAGTAAACATGGATTGGATATCTATACATGGCATGCTTGGTGCCTTCATGGAAATTTGGAAAGGTTTGAGCGTGTCTGTGAATAAGAGGGATAGACAAATGAGTCACCAGTTGAAACCTGGCCTCATGTATGCCGTGCAAATGTACGCCTATGGTTCTGGAAGTGTCAAAAGTGAACCAGCTTAGCTTAAGTGGCACCCCTGCTAGGAAGCCTGTTTTCAACTTCACGTGTCTGCAGCTGAGCCATGACTGTAAGTGTTAACAAGGTAGAAGGAGGTCAGAAGGCTTTCTAGACACAGATGCAAGTACACGCAAAGACCTGCAGACCTTCCTTCTGTGAAATTCAGTTCAAGAAGGGAATTCTCTCAAATAGACCTAAAGGCAATATGAAGATATAAAGATACAGCCTCCCTGTTGTCTTTTCATATCATGAAAGGACCACATTTATTTTTCCTCTCGTATTTATGGAGAGATTCTTTCTGACCAAAGGGAAAGAAGAGAAGGACCTTTCCATAAAGGACCAACCAGATGGATCAGATATATAGGAAATACTGACGCAGTGTAAAAGTGTTACGTATGTATTTATTGAGGAAACTTTTTTTTCTCTATGCTCTGGTAAGCACAGGCAGTTTACTGATAAAAAATGAGCAGCTGCCTTTCTGGATATCAGAGAAATCAGAGAAGCATTTATGTAAAGAGGTCCAGCCAACCATGATGAAGCATGACTGGGACATGTACACAGGGCGGGCTAGAAGCATCCAGCAAAGGTGCCCCACACTCTGTACTTATTACTAGCTAGACATACTTTAAGCCATTCTCTTTTTTATATCCTCACCCAAGGATATTTTTCCATTGATTTTTAGGGAGAGTGGGAAGGGGGGGAGGTGATACAGAGAGAAACATCGATGTGAGAGAGAGACACATCGATTGGTTGCCTCCTGCAGGCACCTGCAACCATGGTATATGCCCTTGACCGGAATTGAAGCCGGGACCCTTCAGTCCACAGGCTGATGCTCTAGCCATTAAACTAAACCGGCTAGGGCTTGAAGCCATTCTTGACATCTCACTCTGAAAATAAGATGAAGAGAACATTTTGGATTAAATTTTATGTTTATGCTGTTTTTCTTTGGTTTATCATCATTTTTAGCATTATTTAGGTAAAATTGGCAAATAGAATTATATTTAAAGTGTATAATGTGTACACTGTGAAAGGGTACTTTGAGTTATTACATCCATCACCTCACATGTTTAACTTTTTTGTGTGTGAGTGTGAATCCATAATTTCTACTCTCTTAGCAAACTACAACTATAAACACAGTATTAGCAACTGTAGTCACCATGTTATTATACATTAGATCCTCAGACCTTATTCATTTTAAAATGCAAAGCCTGCCGAACCGGTTTGGCTCAGTGGATAGAGCGTCGGCCTGCGGACTGAGGAGTCCCAGGTTCGATTCTGGTCAAGGGCATGTACCTTGGTTGCGGGCACATCCCCACTGGGGGGCGTGCAGGAGGCAGCTGATTGATGTTTCTCTCTCATCAATGTTTCTAACTCTGTATCCCTCTCCCTTCCTCTCTGTAAAAAATCAATAAAATGTATTTAAAAAAAATAAATAAATAAAATGCAAAGCTTGTGCCCTTTTACTTACCATCCTCTCCCTATTTCCCCCTTTCCCCAGCCCCTAGCGACCATCTGTCTATCTATCATCATCATCATCAAGTACAATATGTGGTCTTAAAATGTACAGAAAACCACCAAACTGCAGTTCCAACCAACATTTATAAATGGGCTAGAGAATGATACGTTGTTCAGTGTACCCATGAGCTTCTGTAAGGTGCCTGGTCAATGCCAGGACCATTAAAACCAGCACCTCCGCAGACATTTAGCATGGCTCGGTGTCCGCTTTTGAGAATTCACTAGTGCTACACATAAAAGCAGCAATAATTCTTTATAACCTGGAGGTACTCCTAGACTGCAAGAACATGGGTGAGAGCACATTAGCAAATAAAAATAGTTGGAAACTCGGTGGTTTGGGCTTGAAAGTTTTATTTTGTTGTTGCAGTTGTTTTATTACGGATGGACAAGTATTCAAGCAGGGTACAGGAGCCGGTTCGGCCCAGCAGATGCTGGAGAAACAAAGGCCTCTGTGCTGTCCCCGCCTCATTTCCTTAATTAAGAGGGACAGCCCCTTGAAACAGCAGCTGCTGCCCTTCCATACATCAAAAGATCTTAAGAAGCTACTGCTCTTATTGATTTGGTCCCATGGGCACTTGAAAGGATGCAACTGGGCGCAGAGTCATCATTTTGCCTCCCATGGACACTAAGCATAAGCCAAGCAGATAGGTTCGCTTGCTAGTTTCAACATCGTGTTTCGGGGATGCCAGTCTCCTAGGAATAACTGGTGCTACTCATTGCAAGGAAGGAACTCTGAGCACGCAACATGGGAGGTGAACAGTGGGTAACTACCCAGTTGTAATTTGCAAAACCCAGTTAACTATTGGGTTTTCTAGTTTGAGGCCTGTCAGGGAGCTTGTTTGCTTTTTAATGCTGGTGATCATGGCCTTGTCAGAAGAGGTCAGCTCTGGATCCAGTCAATGCTTCAGTATGGAAGTGGAGGGCCACTGTCCCTGGACAAGCAGTCCCAGCAAAACTTAACTGAAATGGGGGTGAAGGTGTCACTGTCTGCCTGTATTCAGATTCCAGTGATGAAATTCACACACGCCTGTGCCCTTGTCTCTTTGGGGTAAATTATAAACCCTTATTAGGGCAGTTCTGCTTTCTGGAAGAAGAAAGCAGGACTTCATGTTTTGAGCATAGACTAAATTTCAAGCCATCTATCAATCAGAAAACTTACTGACAGTGATAATAGGGCCTTCAGGAGACTCATTTTATTTTAAGATGAAGAGAGACTAAGCCACCTAGGTTTCAGAGTCTTCGAGCTGGGAAAAATGGGTTCAAGTAAGAAGAGTTATGGGAATGTCCTTAGGATAATGATTAATTTACTTATTTTGAAGAGCTCACAAACCATTATACAATCTCCCTCCCTCCCTTTCTTCTCTCTTTCTTCCCTTCCTTCCTTTATCCCTTCATTCATTTATTTCTTCCTTCTTTCCTTCAACATTTAACTAGTATAGCTCAAGCCTACCTATAGAAAAAAATCTCCACTAGCTCTCAGTTGGGGCTGGGGGTGGGGTGGGGTATGCAAGTTGGAGAAGGGGCTGCTTTGATCTGGGGGAGGACACAAAAATTATGATAACGAACTCTTACAGGATTTATATCAAAATATTTGTTGGTAGGGGGAGAATGATTTTCCTGGTGTAACTGGGAAATATTCAATGGAGGAAGTGACTTTCAGTTGTGTCTTCAAATTAGAGTCAAAGAAAATTAGGTGAAACTGGAGAAGAGCATTTCAAGTTGAAGACAGAAACTTCCAGAGGCTTACAGAGGGCTGAGAAGCTAGCGGGCACTTTTGGGGGATTGGCAGTCTTTCAGTGTGCCTGGAGATGGGGCAGTGCCCGGAGATGGGGCAGCAGAAGTGAGATGGGACCCATAAGGTAGGGCCCCACTGCGTCCTGACTCTGAGGAGTATTTTTAAAAATCTTTATTGTTGAAAGTATTATATATATATTCCCTTTTTTCTGCCATTGAACCCTTACATCCTGTCCCCTCTCCCCCCAGGCCTCCACCACCTATTGTCTGTGTCCATGGGTAACATTGGTATGTTCTCACATGGATGTGACGGCCGGGCTGCACTAGCTCAGGGCAGACAGGGGTGCAGTTTTGAGGCATGTGACTATTTCCATGTAGAAATGAAACAAATTGAATGGAAGTTCTGCAGATCCTGATGAGAGCAAATTATAGACGGTCCCACATTTAATTCATCTTCCTGTATAAAAGTCTGAGAGAGAGAATATGATCACCCGTATTACTTCTGTAACAAAATAATTGTTTTCGATTTAATATGGCTCGCTGCAAGATTACACTACATAATATGTGTCTCTGAGGCATTTTAAATAGGCCTTTATTTTATTTACACATATAGTTTCGGGCACATACCATAGTGATACATCTGTATTTGTCCCTCACATTGGTCCAACAGTAAAGAGAGTGGTTATTCTTTTGCTATACTGCATTCACATTGGTTGGGTCATGTGTTTTGTTTTGTTTTCATAGTTCATAGGGTAGCAGTAGGTAGTTCTGCCAATTTCAAATGAGAGAATTAATTAGATCACTTTGCTATGCAATCACTGTTCAAGTCAGGCAGCTAAAACCACCTGCCTGGCATTGCCTGATAAGTCTTGAAAGTTTAATACACTGTCAGGGAGATGGTTGCCGGAGACCACGTGCCATGCGTAGGACTTATTGAAAAGCCTGAGCTAATAGCACACAGTATCTCTGCCAGAGTCAAGCCTGGACTCCACTGAAGAAAGGTTTCATGATTGCTTTTATGTGAAGTGGAAATTTTGCTGTCAGACTTTACAAGTAAACAGGGTAGATGTGCCCCAAGGATGGTGGTTTTAGAATCCTGTGGACATCAGTAGTCCGCAGGCTCAGCTGAGCTTCTCTAAGGCACATGTGAAGTTGCTAAGGTTGATGTTCCTTTTCATGTTTCTTCACTTTTTAGGTCTGTGATGGGCTCCAACAAGGAACCAGATCTTGTGCATCTCGAGGCCAGAACTGTGGATGGTCGTAAGTAAATCAAGTTTTCCAAGGTGTTCCCAGTGATACTAGTTTTATCAATCCACCATGAACCACGACGTCTGTGTTCAGGAAAATGGTTGGCAATAATCCAACTCATTTGGACATGAGGACTTTTCCAGCTCTTAGTAATTCAGAATTGTCTCAATCATTTTTGACAACTCTCATTCAATCAGGCTCTTTTGCTTTCCTAGTAATGTGAAAATTCAAAATTCCTTAATTCTACCATGTTTTATTGTTGTGATTGCTGCTGCTTTGTTTTGATTGGTTTTTCCTGTTTCCTTATTTTATTGGATGTCGTTCGAGCAATGCCCCCCGTCTTGTTCGGAGACACACAAAGCGTTTAGAGGGCACAGGGGAGAGAAGAATCATCCTGTGTGTCCCTATGATAAGCAGCAGGAGGGCAAAGTCTGCACCTTAGGTGTTCAGAGCAGCCCTAGCTAGGCCATCCACAGTGAAGGACTCCAGGTGATGTGAAGATCATGGCTTTAGGTACATGACCGGGAGGAAAGTAAGGTGCAAATCTAGAATTTAAATCCTTGTCTGAAAAAATCAAGTCTGCTCACTAAATGTGTGACCTTGAAAAATCTACTTAGACCCTTTACGCCTCAGCTTCTTCACTGTAAATTAAATAAGTTAACAAAAATGTGTCCTATAGTAGCTAACATTTACAGAGCACTTACCCTGGACCAAGAATTATGTTAAACACTTTATCTCCTTTAGCACAAGGAATCCTCACAATTTGTGGGTTGTGGTTCCTGTTTTGCAGATGAGGAAATCAAGTCATAGAAAGTTTAACAAACATATTTAAACAACAGCAATATACCTTTTCTTCTTCTTCTCTGGTCCCGAGGTTCTCCTGAAGGTCTGAGAGTTGACGGGGTACCACTAGGTCTAAGATTGGGCACTAAAGGTGAAAAGGACGAAGGGGAAAGGAACATGCATAGAAGAAAGGGATGAGGAAGGAAAAGACAGGGGGAGAAAGAGGCCCCAAATGTAGAGGAGAGAAAGAGAATGGACTGTCCACAGTTACCACCGAGCAATGAGGCTGTTAGAGGTTGTCCGACACTGAGCAAGAGAATGATAATTTAGTTATGGAGACATTTCCTATCTCAAAAGTATCCCTCACAATTCAAAAGCATCACTGTCACTGGCGCCTGCGCCTGTCTACTTGTCCTCAGCTCTTTGAACACAAAGACAGCAGCGATGCCTGCACTTTACCAGCTGACAACTCAAAAGTCACCGGTCATCCCTGCAGCCCAGACTCTTCAGAAATCGCATGTGCTCTGCACCTCTGCACACACCATGAGGTTCTGCATCTCTAGAGGTTTTGCTTCCCTTTCGGAGAATGAATATATTCTTTGTTAGAATCAATAGGAGGATAGGTCAGGGACCAGGACCTTTCTCCTTTTTAAATTTAGGCAGGGTAGTGGTATATCATGGCATCTGCCCCACCCTGTGCCTGGCACAGAATGAGTGGAGACACCTCCATTGCCCTGCAGCTGATTATTTTATCTTGGATCCCAAGGTTCATTTCTTACTACCCAATAGCCAGAGCAGCCTTTTCCTAAGGTAAAAGCAATCCTGTCATCTGTGTCAAGCTTTGATTGACTTCCTACTGCTCTGGCGATAAAGAGCCAAGTTCTCACCTTGACCTTCAGCTGCAGCATAAGCTGGTGCCTGCCCATTTCCTCAGCCGCATCTCACTCTAACCCTGTCCTCACTCCTTGCCTACAAACCCTTGAATTTGCTTTCAAGTCTTGGACCACCCAGGTTTCTCGGTCTTAGTTTAAGGCCCAGATGCCGCTGTTTCCTCTGCCTGGAATGCCCTCCCCCCTTCCCTGATGAATTCAGTGTAATTAATCGCTATAAGTGTTTCAGATCTCAAGTTAAGCATCCATTTCTATTTTTTTAACTTTTAACTTTGAAATAAATTTAGACTCACATAAAAGTTGTAAAGAATAGTCACGTTCCCCTGTACTTTTCAACCAGCTTCCCCTAAAGATAGCATCCAGTAAATCCAGAGAACTATAACAAAATCCTGGAAAGTATCATTTCCCAGGGGAAGTCTTTCTTGAACTCCCAATCCAAACCAGTTTCTCAATTTGTTTGCTTTCATCCAACTCTAATATTTTTCTTTATTGTGCTCATCTCAGTTTTTTTAAAATATATTCTAATGATCTTTTACAGAGAGGAAGGAGAGGGATAGAGAGTTAGAAACATCGATGAGAGAGAAACATCGATCAGCTGTCTCCTACACACTCCCTACTGGGTATGTGCCCACAACCAAGGTACATGCCCTTGACCGGAATGGAACCTGGGACCCTTGAGTCCGCAGGCCGATGCTCTATCCACTGAGCCAAACCGGTTAGGGCTCATCTCAGTTTTTAATTGCACATTCCATTTCCGTGATGATTGGATCACAGTGTTTTCTCTCCACCAGTAAGTGCTATGGGTGCAGGGGGCATGTACCCCTTTGTTCAATACTCTGTCTCCAGCACATGCTACAGTGTCTACATGTAGATAGAGCTTAATAAATATTTATTCAATGAATGAATGCATAGTTGACCAAGTGTCAGGGTAACCAGCTGGCTACCTAACCTCACTTACAGATCCCACCTATGGACCTTGTTAGAATGTAAATTCTGATGTAGGAGGGGCCCAACAGTCTGCATTCCTAACAAGCTCCCTGGTGAAGCTGATGATGCTGGTGGTGGAACATGCTTAGGGTCAGAAAGTCCCATAATAAAAACTAATGAAAGAGCTTCAGGGTCTGTCTCCCATGACTACACCCTTGTTTAGAAAGCTCTGGGTGGAATCCTAGATTGCTTTCCTTTCTGAACTTTTGGGGACGTGGCTGCTTTCTGGTCTGTGGCATTTAATGCCCATAACCCCATATCCTGAAAACGACAAGGCCATCACTTTCCCTGATCTGCGCTTTTTTCCCCCACCCAACATTATTCCTGTGTTCCCTGCAGGCATGGAGGTTGATAATGTCAAACTGTCATCTCAGGCTCAGCTTGCGCGAGGCATGAAATATATCAGTTCTAATTTTATTTATTTTATTTTACTTTTTTTGCAAAGGCAGCATCTTCAGAAACTATCCAAGAGTGAAAATTCAATAAAGGGATTTAATTTGAAAAGTTATCCCTGTCAAAACAAAGCAGAAAAAAAATTACCTACCAATTGAAGAAAAGGATCTAAGCCTGACCTGACCGAATGTAAAAAATGAGATTTTTCTCGGTATCATGTCCTCCCTCCTCCTCCCTCCCCCCGTCCCTCCCTTCTTCTCTCTCTTTCTTCTTGGTATCTCTTTCTCCAACACAGTAACCCTGGCACCAAATAAAAGAAACAGAGAGGAGGAGGAGGAGGAAGGAAAGAGCTCAGACAGCTCAGTCAGTAGCAAGGTGTTAGCAAATGTAGCTGAGAGTCATTTGCTCCAAGAATTCCAATATCTATATCTTCTTTCCCATTCCCTGATTGAAACCCCTCTTGATTCTCTATTTCTTCATTATTATTTAGTATATAATTTAAGTATATGGAACTCATTGTTTATATTCTAGGTTATGGGTCTTGTAGGGAATGTGCAAAAATAATATAATACTTTTTAATTTGAACATTGTTGTTGTGTTTGTTTTCTCTGATTGTAATGGGTTTAGGGATTTTGTAGCCAAGGCACTGAGACATGTGACACAGGAAAAAATTGTTCACTTGCTTATTTGGCTCATCCCCATGGGATGGGTTGCAAATGCTTATCTGGGTTTGTTACTCAAAGGTTAGTGTTAGTCTCATTTCTCATCTCCCTAGATGACATTTTAATTACTATCTGTTTCATGGGAAGTCTCTGTATGTGAGGGAGGTGAGCTCTGGGAAGCATTGGCTTACAAGACTCTATGGCTGGCATAGATGTGTCATGCCCATTGTGCTGTGAGACCTGGATGTGTTGTAGTTTACAGTCATGTCAAGGATATTATTCTTTCTTGTATCACCTCTGTCTTGGGAGACAAGCTGAATTACAACCTCAATTACAATCAATCACAGGAGGTATTATTGGAAACTTTTGAACATATTTCTTGAATGTGGCATTTGTTATTGATCCCCACGTTCAACTGAGAACACATTGGCAGGTCCTCATCCAGGAAACAAACATGTTAATGTTTACAAATCACACATGTGTGTTTGTGTGTATGTGTGTGAATGTGTATACACGCACCCATGCATTGTATGCACACAGTACATTAAACCTGCTACCCATACATCAAAATAGTAAGAAGGAAACCTACATTCTATTGACTTACCTAATATATTGGGTATGTGTATGTAATGTACATAGTTACAGAGACAATGGGGACCAAACTGTTGGATTGAAAACTTTGTAAAAACTCCTGTCTTATTTAAGTTTGCTGGTGTGGGAACCATAGCTCAGAGCCTGACACATTTAAAGTTTGTTGACTTAATAAATATATGTGTATGTCATGATATAGGCATGATTTGGGGCTTTTAACCATAGGATCTCTGGAGCCCTTTGGGGCTAATGGATGAGCATAAAAAATTCACTAACTCCCTGTAATTTTGTGCTACATATTATACATATATGTGATTTTGGAGAAAGAGGATATGACTTGTATCAGAATTCTTCACATGGCAATTTCACATGTATGCCTAATTCTATATTTTCTCTCATCTGTAAACATCATCTTGTAAAAGAACATGTAGTAGCACGTTTGACCCTTCTCACTTCCCGAATGAAAGGCTGAACTGGTGACTTGGGAGTCTCCATGCCAGTGGTGACCAGGGCTAGCACAGACAGGGGCCAGGACCATCACTGGCCCCGGGTCTATTTGCATGAGTAAGTAACCTTGCAACAACTTGCCCAAGGACTAATCTCTTTCACTAGGGAAAAATAACCATGGCCCTTTAAGCGGAGGTGAAAATGACCGCTCAAAAATTCTTCCTAAAATGAACCACAAAGGAGAATTTCACCAGCTGAA